CGGGGGCGGGTTTGATTTTGAACCATCATATTGCCATAGTACTTGTGAGTTTCGACGGATGGTTGGAGGAGGCATTGATTATGAACCATACTGCTGAAGTTTTATTTTTAATATTTAATTGTTTAGATTTAATTTTGGTATTCGTTTTAGAGCCCTGTGCCAACAACCATTACCTGAATCAGCTCAACTCGTTTTGAGTATGATGTTTATTTGTTGAATTCAAGTTGTTGGAGCACTCCTTGTATGGTTATATGTTCTGGTCTCTGGTTCGTGCATGTTGGTTTTACAGTTTTCACTTTTCAGGAGTAATGTTGCTTTCAGTAGTTTGTTTTACGTGCTGATCATTCTTTCTTGTGATAGGCGACCAGATGAGGACAGTGATAGTGATTTCCGAGATTCAAGTAGTGATGGTAGCAGTGACTGTGAACCTGAAAGAAGATTAAAATACATGCAGGAGCAACCTGGTCACAACAATCTGTTGAGTGACGTTTGTCGGAGGATAGATAGATTATCTTTGAGAGACAATCCTATTTCACTTCAAGAAGATTTTTCTAGTGATGAAGGGGAATCTGGAAATTCTCAGGCTTGCTTGATATTTGAGTATCTTGAACGAGACCCCCCGTATGGTCGCGAACCATTGGCTGACAAGGTTAGATATTCTGGCTGCCTTTTCCTCTGTCACTGTGTTAAGAGGAGAGAAAAAATTTCACTTCTCTTTGTACACTTCTCCACTTTGAGGCTTGAGCGTTATGGCATATTTTGTTTTTACAGATATTAGATCTTGCATTTCGTTTTCCTGAGCTGAAGACACTAAGGAGTTGTGATCTTTTATCTCCCAGCTGGATTTCTGTTTCCTGGTACTGTTAAACTCTTGATTCAGTTTGATGGTTTATCCGTGGTCATTTGACTAATTGATTTTGGTGCTGGAATTGATGTAGGTATCCAATATACCGGATTCCAACTGGACCAACTCTAAAGGATCTGGATGCTTGCTTTTTGACGTATCATTCTCTTCATACGCCCATGGGAGGTAATTAAACTTGTTTTTGATTGGCATATGCGCTTACGCACAAGAGTTGTCATTTTCTATATAAGCCAACCATTCTGGGAAACAATTTCTTAGTTAATGTAATTTGTGTGTTACATCATTTGGATATATAAGGATGAGCAAGAAAGATGGCAACGACTTGGGACTGACTATTAATTCTTTATCCCTTGAGAGTTCTACGAATGAATTCTAGAATTTGGCAATTATGTAGTGTATTTGTTTGTATAGTTTTGGTTAAAGGACAAGTAGGAAAGAAGGTTAACATCTTGGGCAATTGGTGTTATACCATTTTGAGTTCTAGAAGGAGATTCTTGGATTTGTAATTATGTGACTCATGTTTCTGGTGTTGTTTGAACGATATGGCAATTAAGAACGAGTGGGAAAGAAGGTTGAACATTTTTGAATGGGTGTTATACCATTTTGCGTTTTACAAATGAATTCTAGAACATGGTAGTTTCCAGGAGCTGAACATGGTTGTTGGTTGACATACAACTAATGTTATCATTCCTGGTTGAATTTTTGTTGCGCTGCCAATAAATCTTTCTATCATTTCAATCATATAGCTAAGCTACATCAGGTTGATTTCTTTCAGGATTGCAGAATGCTCAGGCTCCAGTTATAACACGTCCATGTGAGACAGACTGTGTTCCCAAGATTCCCTTACATGTTTTCGGTCTTGCTTCGTACAAGTTCAAAGGATCCTTGTGGACCCCAAATGGGGGATTTGAACGGCAATTAGCAACCTCACTTTTGCAGGCTGCTGACAACTGGTTAAGACTGCTTCAAGTCAGCCATCCAGATTTCCTGTTTTTCAGCCGTCAGTGATATCAAGATACAAGGTTAACACATACCCCTCGCCATTCTAGAACAAAGCCCCATGATGCAGCCCTCAGTTCTGTAGAAGGCAGGATGCCAAGTTTGTCTGTGGTTCTTTGATTTGGTTTTGTGTTCTTTTCGTTGAAAGAAAGATCAAATGATAAAGAAAAAAGAAGAAAAAAAAGAAAAAAGAAAAGGAAGATGGAGAAATAACATAAAAGAGGTTAAAGCATTGAATGAGTGGAAGGGCTGCCTTAATAAGGCTCAACAGAGAGAATGAGTAGAGAATAGTTAGACAAGCTTTAGAAGGGGTAGTTTGTGCTTAGTGTAGACAAATCTCATCTTGCTTGTTTTCTGTATCTCTTCTTAGTATATTATGATGATGATGATAAACCAGGCTCTTTTTATGTCCTGATGATGTTAGAATGTATTTTATATTTATAAGGGGATTTTGGCATAGAGGTTATATAAGTGTCAACTTTTGGGTTCCCCAGATTATTTTACTTTATTACCGTTTGCTCCACCAATTTCTCTGTAGTAATGCCCTTTTTTATTTGTTGTGAATTAACTGATGAAGACCTCCGATACCAGAAGTGATGGAAGCCCCAAGGTTATTTTATTTATTTATTTTTTTTTTTTAAGAAGTAATCCTGTTCTTTGCCACACCGGACTGCCGGTCGTTGTGATTCCATGCCAGAAGTGATGGAAGCCCCAAGGTTATTTTATTTATTTATTTTTTTTTTTAAGAAGTAATCCTGTTCTTTGCCACACCGGACTGCCGGTCGTTGTGATTCCATGGTAGCAACCTGACCGCCAACATTAGGTAACAGTCGGGCGGTGGCATATTGACTGAGGTTGTGTCCGTGTTAGCAACCTGACTGCCAACATTAGGTAACAGCTGGTGGCGGCATATCAACTGAGGTTGCCTAACCCAAGTATTTTTTCCTCTTTTCTTCTTTCTTTCATTAGTATTTTTTATGCCGTTGCTGCTACTTAAGCATGGCGTGTATCTGTTCTTTCAAAAGAACCTGAAAAACCCTAGCTTTTACCCCGCCCTTGACACGGGTGGTTTGTGGTTCCGTCTACAAAAAATTGCTCGGACTAGCCAACTTGCGTAATTTTGCAGCCCCTGTTAAGTTGCACAGAATTGTCTATTGCTGTGTTAAACTAATTTGAGCTTGATTTAAAAAACAAAAACAGTAACAAAAATTTTGTTTGGATTAGGAAAAAAAATCTCCCTTCTTGATGGCTCCACATTTCTTCCTCCTTTTTGGATTGTGTGAAACCTACTCGCGGTTGGTGTCATCGTCTCCATTTATTGGACGGGAGGAGCTGGTGTTCTTTGGTAGATGTCTTGTGATGATAAGTGTTGATGAAAAGAAATCCTTGAGAACATCTTCAATTGCAAATATAAATTAGTGTGCACATATGAAATGTTGTATTGAAGTACGAAAATTACTCTAATGCAATGTTATTTTTTGTGATAAATTTAACTAATATTATACTTGCTACTAAATTTAGTATCAAAGTACAAAATATACCGAATTTAGTTAATTAATTACTGTTGATATAATAACTTATTTATTTAGAGGATATTTGTTTCTTGTATTCGTTTATGATTCTAAATCATGATTCACGGTTCTCTACAGTGTTTTTCTCTTACAAAAAATACATGTAAAATGAAAATAATTTTGAATCATAATTCTGAATATATGAACCAATCGTCCACTTAGTCATTAGAACATTGACTTTTGATATTGAAATTTCACTTTAACAAGTTTCCAAGCTTCAAGAGAAAAAAAAAAGAGTTCTGAAGCTTAATGATTATGACAAGAAGAAGATAACTTAGGACCCGTTCAGTTCGCTGATTCGAGTTTTTAATTCGAGTTAAGATGTGACTTTATGTGAGAGCTTTTTACTGTAGTAAAAAAATTAGATGTGACTGTTTCTGAGAGCTTTTTACTGTAGCAAAACTTGAATTCTAAACTCAAATCGGTGAAATGAACAAAGCCAAATTTTCATTGTGTATTTGCACACAAAACAAAATAGCAAATCCATTATTGTATTTTCACACTTCTAATGGCAAATATCATATTGAGGGTGGCCTTCAGTCTGGTCAGATACTAGCTTAATCAGTCTCGTCGTACCTAGTCGGTTTGCTCTTTTTAGGTGGTCCGACCAACCTATTATTTTACGAGGTCTGACAAGACACAAGACCTGATCAGATCAGGATCACTTGCCTTCGAATTAAAACAGAACTACTCGGAACCAAGTTGCCAAGCAGGACAAGTGGCAAAGCAACCATTTGACTGCCACATGGCATCATCTTCGCGAACCTTGGTGATTTACCTCGGACGCTGCACATCATGTGTACCTAGAACCTAGTACAATCACACCGGGTGCCCCTGAGCACCACCAAGATCTAGGAATGCTCTGTAAATACCAAGTTCATATAAGGTATGTACAAATCCTTCCTTACCTAGGCTCTACTTATCCACTTGCTCTTTCCTGACCAACCAGCTGATTTGAGCATCATAGTACACCCAATGTTGTCCCCCTCACTCTCAAGCTATCTACTTTCCAATTGCAGGTTAGGACAAGTGGTTTAACCCCGACTAGGATAGACGAAACAAGGAAGCCCACTAGAAGATGTATCTGACCTGGACAAGTGGAGCAAGGAGTCCGACCACCGTGCACCATCTTTGTGTTAAAATTGAACAAAAACATATATGCCGTATTTGGAATTATTTTTATTTTTATTTTTCAAATTTTTCGAGAAAGAAAAAATGAAAACGATTTCAAAACAGCTTTTGGCACAATTAAAGACTAAAAATGAAAATAAAAACGATTTTTTAGTTAGTGTAAAATGGAAGAAAAATAAAAAATGATTTTTAGTCATTTTTGATTTTTTGTTTTCATTTTCTCCTCGAGCAAAGAGAGAATGAGAGACATTAATGGATTTTTTTATATTAAAAATAATCTCTTAATAAAACTACCAAACACATTTTCAAAAATGATTTATGTCTGAGAATGAAAATGTTTTCATTTTTATTTTCATACAAAAAAATAAAATAATTTTAAAACGAGTTTCAAATGTGCATATAATATTGATATTTATATTTGTATTTGAGATGGTCTAAGTGATGATAGACTTGGTCCAACCTCATTAAAATTTAAAAAAAAAAAAACTCAAAAAGAAAAAAAAAAAGAAAAAGAAAAAGTAACTGAACAAGATTTTGAAAACAAGAAAAAAAAAAAAAAAAGTGAATCGAAACCTATTTTCATAACTAATTTTTCTACACGAGTATTATGAAATAACTTTCCGCTAAGTGACCAAAGAAAAAGAATGTCTTACCACAATCTAATTCTATAAACAGATTGACTGACTGTAAAATGACAATTACTTATCACATCACTTGGCACAAAATATTAAAGTAGATAAGTACTCAGCATCCCTGGTATTATCCTTGATTTTTATCCTAAGTTATTATCTTTATTTTTGAACGCTAAGCGAATAGTTAGATTCGTTATCCAAAACTTAAAGCAATCGTAATGTTTTGACATTTTCTTATTTGATAGAGATTAGTTTTTTGTTTTCTTAAACGTTTTATGAAATCGTAATTACCATTTCTTCCTGCAGTCGTTCCTCACATGTTTTTCATTATGATTATTTTATTTCTCCAAAACGGTTTATAAGATTGAAAGAGGAACGATAATATTTGGATTGAAAACAAAGAAATGTCTCAACACCCATAGTCAATACAAACTATACGGGTCGAAGATAAAAACAACCAATAAAGTTATTTTTTAAAAAATAAATAATAAATCAACCAAAAAAGGAATACAACTTTTTTTTTTTATAGGAAATTTCATTTAATAATTAAGTTAATACAACTTTAAAATAGTTGAAGACAAATGAGTCACAAACATGAATACGAGTATCGAATCTCAATAGAAAAAAATTTGCTCGGCACATTAAAAATCGAGAGCGATAAAAACTCATTTAACAAAACCATTACAATTAATATTGCTAACTTCATAATAAAAATGTCTATCAAGAAATGATAGACAAACGATACATCAATCTATAAATAAGAATTAACAAATAATATCGAAATATATATTTCGATGCAACAACAAAAAATAGATATTTATTTAGAAATGACCGGTAGAATTAGAACAGTTGCGGAGCAGGCCATTAATGGCTTCATTATATTGATACTTTTTAAAGGGAAGCGTAAAATATTTGATATTTTTTAAAGACAAGCATAACAAATAAAAAAAATTCATGAGATTAATTAACACATATTCGTCTGGGCGGGGTTGTGGGTTAATATATATATATATATATATTTTATAGTCCTTATGTTATATTAATAAGATGAGGCATTTCATAACATGTGTTAGATTAAAAAAAAAAAAGTAAACAAGGAAGCCCACTAGAAGATGTATCTGACCTGGACAAGTGGAGCAAGGAGTCCGACCACCGTGCACCATCTTTGTGTTAAAATTGGACAAAAACATATATGCCGTATTTGGAATTATTATTATTTTTATTTTTCAAATTTTTCGAGAAAGAAAAAATGAAAACGATTTCAAAACAGTTTTTGACACAATTAAAAACTAAAAATGAAAATAAAAACGATTTTTTAGTTAGTGTAAAATGGAAGAAAAATAAAAAATAATTTTTAGTCATTTTTTATTTTTGATTTTCATTTTCTCCTCGAGCAAAGAGAGAATGAGAGACATTAATGGATTTTTTTATATTAAAAATAATCTCTTAATAAAACTACCAAACACATTTTCGAAAATGATTTATGTCTGATGATTTATGTCTGAGAATGAAAATGTTTTCATTTTTATTTTCATACAAAAAAATAAAATAATTTTAAAACGAGTTTCAAATGTGCATATAATATTGATATTTATATTTGTATTTGAGATGGTCTAAGTGATGATAGACTTGGTCCAACCTCATTAAAATTTAAAAAAAAAAAAACTCAAAAAGAAAAAGAAAAAGAAAAAGAAAAAGTAACTGAACAAGATTTTGAAAACAAGAAAAAAAAAAAAAAAAGTGAATCGAAACCTATTTTCATAACTAATTTTTCTACACGAGTATTATGAAATAACTTTCCGCTAAGTGACCAAAGAAAAAGAATGTCTTACCACAATCTAATTCTATAAACAGATTGACTGACTGTAAAATGACAATTACTTATCACATCACTTGGCACAAAATATTAAAGTAGATAAGTACTCAGCATCCCTGGTATTATCCTTGATTTTTATCCTAAGTTATTATCTTTATTTTTGAACGCTAAGCGAATAGTTAGATTCGTTATCCAAAACTTAAAGCAATCGTAATGTTTTGACATTTTCTTGATAGAGATTAGTTTTTTGTTTTCTTAAACGTTTTATGAAATTGTAATTACCATTTCTTCATGCAGTCGTTCCTCACATGTTTTTCATTATGATTATTTTATTTCTCCAAAACGGTTTATAAGATTGAAAGAGGAACGATAATATTTGGATTGAAAACAAAGAAATGTCTCAAC